GGGGGGGGGCGTCGAGGCGCCTCGAGACTGATGCCGACGCTCCCTAGTCCTACCTCCTCCAGACTCTGCTCAGCGGAGACTCTATCTCCCGAACTGGGACAGATTGACGTGGACGTCAACATGGTCCTTGGGGTACATTTAATACCTGCTGATAGACCGGAAGTAGAGAGTATATGTAAAAATTGTAGTAACTCGATACTGGAGCGAAGTGGGACGTTGTTTTGGTAAATTTAAAAAAGTTATTTTTCAAAGTTTGTACTTCGTCTACTTCTTTTTTCTTTTTTGGTCGATGAGACAAAATGTTTGCTGAGGTTGCACGAGATGCGTGGATCCGGTATGGGACCGTTTTTTCATCCGTTGACTGGAGGAAATAAAATTTGTAGGAAACTGTACCAAGTCGATTTTTTTTTTAAAAATTTTCAAAGTGATTTAAAGGACGGTTGACTTTGTCTAGGGGAAATTTACTAGGGATAAAAAAAAATTACTAGAAACTATGCCAAACGTTCATAGAGCGAAGTGCACCCTGAGGAGTCTACTGATGTACAGCGACTTTCCCATCCCCCACTGCTCGGATTTACCCCCACCACTCACACCCTTCCCCTACTACCATTCTCCCTACTACACTCCTTTATACACTTTCCTCTTAACCTAAAGGACTTTTTTTCTTCCTTTTTTCACCACTACAGTCTCTCGGGCCCTTCTCAACCAATCACGTGCTACTCTGCTTTTCTGTATTAGCGATAATTTGTCATTACGATTGCATTATCTGTACGGTTGGTACACTGCACTTTGAATTCCATAGACATATCCATGTCTGATCGCATCTGGACACATGGTATACGTTTGGCTTCTGGACGGAGGGCAGAAACGTAAAACGGCGAAAGTCACTTAAAAGCTGCTTCTGTTGACGGATCAGTTTTTAAAATAACGCGCCCACGCGGTATCGCGGATCGGCGGCCGTTGAGTCATCGAAGAGGCCGAACGGGATTGATTTCAGTTTCAGGTCGAAAACTTATTTCAATCCGACCATTAAATTATTTTTACTGCCATGGAGGGTGCTGGCGGGCACCGAAGGGAATTAGGTGTGGTCATTGGCCCGTGACAGTTGGGACACCCATAGGGGACTTAGAAAAGTATTATGCAGGCTGGCGTCAAATATGCCGATATACACGGAGGTCGATAGAAAATCATGAAATTCAACTTCAACGCTAATTTAGTATTATAATTTACATGTATAACTATTCCATATTAAAAATTCGCCAATGAGCCCATCACCTGCGACATATATGTGTTTAGCATTTTTTTTTTTTTTTTTTTTTTTTTTTTCAATGACGTTTGCTGGTCTTACGAATTTTTTTATACAACGGTCAATGACCGTTCAATGGTTTTTAATTGTGGATCGATAGAAATACGAGATCTTTGAATGATTTGGATTTGGGAATATAATATAGGCTTTTTGTACCCCTGACATCAATTTAATTTTTTTTTTTTTCATCTACTTTTACTCGGTATCCACCTAAGAGACGGACTTCTCTTACACGCGAAGGGCACGACACTCTTTGATGTGTCTCTAGTCACGGCACTGGCAAGCCACGGCAGCCATCAGGCATCTGTCACATGGCTATTTTTTCTTCAGCAAATTTATCGACCTTCTGACGGCTAAGATCCGGGGCCTAAGTGCGCAACACGCGTCTCGGTACATCAGAGAACAGATTGTTTGATACGCGATTTTACGACGCTCGAAATAGTTTTCGGCTCGCCGGTATGTATGTACGTGCATAGGTTTGGTGTACATGCCTATGCGCGTCGCGACGCCGACGTCGGACGATGACAGAATTGAACTTCGGACGGATTTAATCTTGCTGATTTTTCAAATCCTGCGACACTTTTTTTTTGAGTTCGAACGTGAAATTTGGAATTTATGAATTTGACGAATTTTTTTTATTTCCTTTTTGTAAGGGGGTTTCGTCATTTTAGATCCTTTGTTATACCTTGGACTTTCTTCAAAGTGTCTCGGGTTGTCCTTCTTAAGGGTGGTAACTGTCCTGCCATCTTATGACACGCGGACGAACTGTTGAGATGAAAGCGTCTGAAAGAGGGGGTGGTCCACGGGCTGGGATTTTGATACGTAAAACTTTTTTGGAAATTTTTGGAATTACTCAAACATGATTTTTCGTGTATACACCATGGAATTTGCGGAATAAGATTTTGAAAAATAAATTTTCAAAATTTCTTCACTCTCGATGTTTCGATGGCAATAAAATAGCCTGATGATTAAATGGGATTTTTTTTGCGATTTTGGCAAGGATATTTTTACCCAGTGAACAAGTTAACGTTACTCGATGTTTTTTTCGGAAAGTATCAAGGGGTTCGGTATTTGGCTTGAAAAGCAACGAATAGGCTATGATATATTCAAAGGTAGATTTCTCGGTGAGTTCAATACCCATTTTGCTGCAGAGAGAAATTCACAGCATAACTAAAAGCCGAGCACCGCCGGTTGCGTACTACGAGAATTGCGCAAACTTTCACTTCAAACAATGGAAGCGGCCTTTTTGGTTTCGGTCGCTTTCCCGGAATTTCAGGGTCGCGCACATGCCACGGTCATAAATCTTGCGACCACGAGAAAAACTTTGCCGCGACCTTGACTTTCGCATATTTTTGTAAACGTAAGGTCGGACTCAAGAAAGTGACTAAAAAACTCCTTTGAGCAGTCAGAAAATTAAAAAAAAAATTGTCCATATCGAATTTTAATTTATTCAAATTACACCCATATACTCGAATTAACGATCAATCTAATAGATATTTTTATCCATTACCCCCACTCCGTGAATTTAGTCTTAACAGCGACAGGGGAAACCCATATTGGTAGTCTCATTTAATATCGTCGTAAAGGAGCGTTAAACTGTCGAAAGGATCGATTAAACTTTTGTAAAGGCCTCTAAGGGGGTTAACTTTCCCTGATAGAACCTTCCAACCAAAATAGATCCGGCGGTACGAAAGCGTCGCGACTCACAGATCCCGGTAGTCCTACCAGAGAGACGACATAAATTCTTACCGATCCGTCCCGAACGTCTTCGCTCATCGAAGCCAATTACGTGAACCTATCGAAGAGACTAATCAGCCGGTCCCGCATACACGTCCCCAGATACGTAACGCGCATGCGTGCACAGGTACGTGGGATTCGTATCAAACAGTGTTTTATGGATCCTTTCACCAAGAGACAATAAATTATAACCCAAGTGAAATTAACCGCTCGTAGCCACGTTCAGACCAGTGGCAAAGCCAGTGCCAACATAAGCGTTCTATTCCCGTAGCCAACATAACGGAGCAAAAAGTCATTAATAATAAAATGACAAACATATACAAAAATATATTGCAAAGAAATCTTTGACTTTCACAATTCGCAACTTTTCCGTCCCATTCGTGACTAAATTCAATTTGTCATCGACGCCTCGATTTACTATTTTTCAGGTATATTTTGACAATTTTCAAAATTTCACAAACGTACAATTTTTATTCATTTTCGGACCAGGATTATTCCTACAACTGTTTTTTTTCTTATTCATCAGCTGTTGGGCAAAATAACACAGCCGGGTACCGGATTAACGTATTGCGAGGGCAGTTTCGGATTTATGGGCGTCGAGTTGCCAAGAGGGCGCCATAAAGTCGTACGGGTATTAATAAATTATCGAAGGGATACATAACCTCACTTTTCTCGGACGGCTGAGGGCCCCTTTGAAAAAAGTGGTTAATGAATTTCTTATGGTAGAAAAATTTTGATTTTTTTTTCCGTCTCAATCAATTCGAATAAATATTTTCGTATCCTCTCGGCTCTATGCGTTTTTTTTTTTTTTTTTTTCGAAATTATTTATTTTACCTAAAACCAGCAAAGATTCTTCGTATCGTCGAATCTTAGTTTTTTTTCTCTTTGTTACCTCAACGGCAGATCACAGCAGCCAGGGATATTTCGTCGAAGAGCCAAACACACGTTTCTTCCTGATCTACAAGGCACATCGAGGCGCAGAGTGATTTAAGGCGAAACACGCGCGGAACGTCTCCGCGCTTATAAACGTTTCCGGCGAAACTTCAGCAAGATGGCGTGCATCGAGGACGAGCCGAGTTTGTTTACGCCTCATGGCTTCCCACGTGGGAAAAGCAGCATGGCGCGCGCCCTTACCTTACGGACGCCGGAACGAATCCTTGCCGAGCGGGACATTGCCAAGGCGGGTTTACAATCGCGATAAAAAAATTATTTAAACAAGTTTTTCATACGTAGGTCAAAAAAAAATTTTCCACCCAATTATTTTTTTATTACAATATTTTTCTTCACCCATTGACACTTACGATTTTTTATAGAAATTTTTATTTTCGAAATACTCTTACCGAACCACTGAGCCTATGACGCAATGGCAATTTCAATCCCCCACCGACTCATCCAATCAGTCGAATTCGAGAAATTCCAAATGCTGACTCGGCCCACGTGGTCTCCGGCAAAAAAAAAGGAAAGTGTCACGAAACGAGTACATAGCGGAGAGAGATAAAATAGAAATATCCATTATAGCACGACACATTCGTAACAGTCTCTACATACGCCAACGTGTCCCTCCAATTCAAAGGGTTATATCGCATCCAGTCAAAAACGTGAAAATTTCGGGTTCCACGTGTCAAAAAAATTTTTCGAAAGTCTCCTGCGGTATTTACATCGTACGTGAGATTGATAACAGATTTTGGTACAGACGTTTCGTACGAAAAAAAAAAACTAAAAATTGTCAGCATCCTCAGTCTGTTGCGTGACTAAGATAATGAAAGATTTGAATAAAAAAAATAATTTACCAATTATCCAAAAGTTTAATGGTAATTTGATCATAAAAACTTTTTATAGTTAGATTTCACTTTTTTTTTTTTTTTTTAAGAAAAAAGGCTTTTCGTACGATACGACCTTACTTTTTAAAATCTCTCGATCGCACTATAGCTACTTACCGATCAAGACTGATATATTCCATAAGGTTAAGCGGAGCAACGTCATAAGAATAATGAAGGTAAAAGAAAACGTTTCACATTTTTCACTCACATTTCATGCGTTGCGGTGCGTGCTGTTTCCTTCGGGGCATCTGCGTCCTGCGGAAATTTTCGATTCTCCCTACGGCCTCCAGGTCTTTCCCCGATGTCAGAGCCTGATCGCGAATAAATCTTGTATCTGCCAAACGGACGGATAATCTGTCTAATACGGATCCCGCGACCGTCACCTAACGTTCGCCTTCCGTTCACCAGCGTCTCCGCATCCTCGTGGCAACTCTCTTCTCTTCCGGTACCGAAATCTTGAATTTTCCACAGGGCAGAGGAAACAATAGAAATTTCGACACTGATCTCAAGCACTGTTTAACCAACGAGACAATATACGTCCGGGCAACCTCAGCACTTTATCGTATCGGTATTATAAGATACATATACATGCACTGGTATGGAACCGTCATGAATTCCGTCATTCGATTCTTCGATGACGAACGAGCAACACCATACGGGAGCATTCGAGAGGAAATCGAAAATCCCGTGTAACCAAATAGTTTACTGGTTAAAAAAAAACCGGTCAAAATTTTGTTTTTTCAAAATCTCCGTATTTACAAAACTTTACTCGAGTCACTTCACTTATCGTACTTCACTTTGTTTTAGTATTGCTTTACCGATCTTCAATGTTAAATCGAGCTCGTTAAGGTCACAGGTCACCAAATTCCACATAGACGAACAATAAGAACCGATCCGAGAAGAAAATCCGCTGCCGATCCTCTGTATGAGATTTGACGTCGGTCGTGAGAAATCGTTACGACAGGAAGGAGCACTCGGAGGATTCAAGGATCGTAAGAGCTGATAGTCACGAGAATAAGCGTGGACGATCGTATTTGGGAAGATGGTGAAAAAAAGAAAATCGGCGAAATCGTTAAATTCGATTTTTACTCATTTTTCGTGTCGACTGTACCGGCCGTCAAAAATGATGGGAACGATCGTAAGTCGATCGGTCGATGATGAGTTCGATGCCGGCGGTGACGTCGATGTGAGTTTAACGAAATCCTGAGGAGGTGCGAATGATCCCAGGGACAAAAATGGTGGGAGGTCACCGTAGTACCAAGGGGAAGTTTACACGAGGTCAAGTTAAGCGAGGAGGTTACGGTTCGTCTTCGTTTGAGATCTTATAGAAAAGAAAAGGGAAAAGGTAAGCACCTTAAGTCTGTTTTACAATCCGCGATTTATACCCGATGGTAAAACCGCGTTCGCGGAGGACTTGAAAACGTGTTCGAAATCGAGCGGGCGGCGGTCCAGCGCTGACTGAGTGCGGACTGGCGTCGCGGTGGCGTGCCCGTGGTGGGGGTCCTCAGCGTCGCGTTTACACTAAAACCGAACGGGAAGAGCACAGCATCCACGGTGAGTGAGTGAGCGAGGATCTGAGTGAGGGCAGGAGGGTTACCGAGAGGAAGGTGGAAAGGAGGTGGGAGAGAGAGAGAGAGGGATAAGGAGGGTAGAAGGAGTTAGAGAGAGAGAGAGAGAGGAGGATAGTGGAGAACGTCAGTGTTGGGTGCTGGAGGAAAGGAGAGAGAGAGAGAGAGAGAGAGAGAGAGAGAGAGAGAGAGAGAGAGAGAGAGAGAGAGAGAGAGAGAGAGAGAGAGAGAGAGAGAAAAACTGATAGGTCGCCGTAGCAGGAGAACTGAGAGGACCAGGAGGACGGGCGGACTGAGGAGACTGAAGAGAGTAGTGAGCGTGCGAGTGAATGAGCGAGTGAGCGAGTGAGCGAGCGAGTGAGGAAAGAGGTCCGAGAGAACCTGTACCTTCGCGGATTGAGTGGTGTAGGTGAGTGGGAGGTTGGCGGCGGCGCAAACGCTGCCAACTCTTTGTCAGTTTGACTTAACCGAATGGGACGAAGTGACAGCTGTCAAACGTCAATTTTTTCATCACGTGCTTAGATCGGGATGAAGTTGATTCTTTATATTTGTCATTGTGACGTAAAAATTTTCATTGTTTTTAGTTAATTTTATTTTTTAGATAAAAAAAAATGTTTCCTCCACAGGACACGTAAAGTCTAGACGAGACAAGATTGTTGGTTGTAATGAACTACGATATGAGAAATAATTGCTGGGAACTCGTGGAATATGGGATTTGTATGGGAACGTCTCGGAAAAGAAGTCCATGGGATTGAGCATTGAGGAGAGTTAGGAAAGGGGGCGGGGCCCCCAACCACGTTAGTTATGGAGGGAGGGAGTCCCCATCCCCTCTACGATCCAAAGGAATTCTCGCCCCTCTCCTGCCTCCCGAAGCGCTAACCGACGGCCAACCGAGGAACTACTACGTCGCGAATCGACACCTGTGAGTTTCTCGGAGTTTTGCTGCAATATACGATAATAGTGACTGCTCGCGATTGACTGGCGACAAAGGTGAGTCTGAATTCGATTCCTGAACACGTTCCTTGGCTATTAGAATAATAATTTCGATACGCCCGATACGTAGGGCATCGACATAATGTATTTTCCCTGAGCTAACCTCAAATATGGAAACAAAAATTTTTACCATGGTTTACGAGTAATTTATGGCTACACTCAATTTTGACAAGCATCCTCAAATTCATACTTGATTCCCAAAATTAATATTTCCTGAAATTACGTACTTAAATACAGAACGAATGAAAAATAATTAAAAAAGAAACCCCTAAAACACCCAATCATTCAAAAATAACGTCATTCACTCAAAATTGCACAATTTTATGTACCTTTTGTGAAATATCGCCAGAAAGTACTCAGAGATAAAACAGTCGATCGTAGTCCGTTGTGGCGCGCATTTCACAGTGATGCCGTCCCGTGACGCTAGATGGCAACCTCGGTAAACAGACTCCGCCCATCAAAGGGTTGGATGGGCGGAGTCCTGGTGATCTATAGCGTCATAGAACACCCCCACTCCATGCGTTCTGTTAAACGGGCGCCGAGCTAAGTCACGCCCATCGCATGAAACGCGCGCGCGGCCCCGGCCACGGCCTGATGTTTATGTTCTGTCGCCGTGTCTCTATCTAGTCACTGCTGTGCGCTCTGCCTTCCTCGCCGCTTATCCCGGCGTTCATTACCGCTAAACATTCCTGTCAATTAAAAGTGCACGGCCGGCGATTTAGTGGCGGCGAGAGAGACAAAGAGAGCCAAGTCAAGAAACACGGAGCGTGAGACAAGGAGCGACGTATGGGGAGACACGCACGCGGAGGAAGACACACAGAGAGAGAGAGAGAGAGAGAGAGAGAGAGAGGAGCCACGCAAAGAGAGTTCGGAGAATCCGCAAAATATTTGTGGCCAAAGCCTTTTGCGTTCTACGTGAGGTCAAAGGTCGCGCTCTGTTATTTCAGACACAAAGCCTTTCTTTTACTCGTTCCGTAACATTTGTCTTCATTTTCTCCGTCTTGTCCATCCGCATGCTTTCTCATCGATTCGTGCCCGTTTATTCGGCTTTTTCCCGATTTCATTCGCGTTTACCTGAAAAGCATCTTACCGAGTGTCACGTGGTCGTGTTTTGAAAAAAAAAATTTTTTTTCACTTTTGCCATTTTTGAAATTATTATGCTGGTGAGATTGAAAAAAAAACGTGTAACTGTCACATCCGTCGGATTACCCAATAATTTTTTTTACGGGACCGTGTACCATTTTTGACTTGCCAAGTGCTTTTTTTTTAGTTTCAAGATTCAAAAATTACTTTGTGGCTTTTCATGTGACATTCTTGCAGCCATAAAGGGAGATTGTGTGTATTTGTATATATTATTTGGATATGTATAACTGTCTGGCAGCCTCCTCGAAAATAAGTCGAGCACGCATAAAATTCGTCGCGCCGCGTTTCTATCTACGCGAAACTACGGCGTTCGCTTCCAATTTTCTACAAGAACTTTTGGCGTATCTGTTCAATGATAGTTGGACGTTGAACGACGAGAAATAAATGTTGAGGAAAAAAAGCGCGTCTCTGGAGAAACGTTTTCCTCTCTTTAGGCCTCAAAGCCACTCGTCTCTTTCACCGATTGACTCACGTTGCCCGAAGACATAAATTTCGAATAATTAATGTGTCTCGGGTCACGGTGCATCGGTTGAATCTTAAAAATCCGAACGCAAGGAAATAGTGAAAGTGACGCTAGTAATATTAACGATTAAAGAAGCTACTTCGTAGGATTACAAAAATAATAATTACGATTTTCCATAGCGTCACGTGCCTTTCGTAATTCCGTATTTACCGTTTGTCACGATTTCGTAATTCCGTCACTTTGCATTATTATTAATTATGTACAAAATGCTTATTTCGTCCTGGATGATCATAACGACAATAAAATATAACGTTTAAAAAATTTTAAGATTAAAAATTTACTATAACCATCCACCCGGATAATCTTGCACGTGAATCTGGATTGTTCCCATTTCAAAATTTTTTTTAAAAAATATTTTCAAAATTCACTCACTCGGACACTGATATTACGGATAATTTATAATTTTATAAAAAAAAAATTCAAAGTGTTTTTGGAAAATTTATTCAGCTTCGTCGAGACACCCTACGATGGCACAAGTGTCTTTATATGTTTGATATAATTAAATGCGTTCCCAAAGTCGATACTATATGCACGTGAACCCGTAGTTTTCTGACCTATGCGTAATTTACGAATGCACCATCGAATACGAGACTCGAGCGCGTCCGCGAGGTCGCAAATGGCTGAGTTCCGTTTTACGACTTTTGTCATCGGCCCTCGTCGCTGGCCAAGGCAGTCCAACAGCCCGAGTCCCAGCGGCACTAAAACTTGCGAATATTTCGAAAGCGTCCCGTTATGCAACAACAATGTGGGTCAGTGCGGAAAGTGAGAGAGAGAAGGAGAATCCGTAGCCGTATTCAACCCCCAGGAAAGAGAAATAAGTGTGAGTCGTAAAATAAAATACGACGCGCCCCAGGGCTATGACCGAACTATCTTCAAGTAGGAAGACAGTCCCAGCCGGAAACGAAGAATTTGAAAAAATTTTTAAATGAGTATATCAAGGATGAGACAAAAACAAAATAGGGGTAAAATATAGAATTTTTTTTTTTACGGATCCTACGAACGTTTTCGAAGCGACGTCGGAAGCTGCCGTCCCGGCGTTCGACTTCCTTCTCGATTTCAGGATCTGGAGTAATGGCCGTCCTTCCTTTGGGATCTTTTCGAAAATATTTCCGTCCCGTACCTACTCCTGGACGATAAATAAGCCCGCGGCCTATCTGTCGCGAATAGATATAGGACGTTCGCAGTCTCAGACTCCTTTCAGCCGAAAATCCAAGAGGAAACGTGGAATCGTAACGATCCCCATTCCAGCCTTGGGAAGCTTTTCTTTTCTTTTAGTCGCCAGGGTAATGAATTACCTACACGTCGGCACAGAGAAAGAAGCTGGGCAATGCCAGAGGAAGATACTCCGATGATCTCAGAAGTGAAGTTCGGGGATAGAAAGGTAGCCGAAGAGTCCCGAAGAAAGGTATCGGCATAACCGTGGATAGTTTGAAAACGTATGACTAATTCATAGAAAAAGTTGCGACCTGGTGGAAGTTAATATTACATAATTAAAAAAATTATACCCAAAAGAATAATAATAATAAATGTAACGTAAATCAAGTCGTACCAATTAATTCAGTGTCATTAAGATTCAACGTGAAGAGTTCAGTCCTACCGTTCGTGTTAACAAGAAATTTTTAACCAGAATGTACTCGGAACGAAAATAGATAGGAATAACGGATGAGGACTTATGACGATCAAAGATACTCGCGTCGGTCATAGCTCAGTGAGAATTTGTTTTTTCGAAAAGTGAAGGCGCCAGTCTTTTAACCTGGAAAAGTCACAGGCGGACCTCCTAGGGTGATATCGACCATTCACATTTACGTAGCACGTGTATAACCTAAAAGCTTGATACGTTTCGTCTAGATATATATATATATTTTGACAATTAATATTATTACGTACGGTTACGCTTGAAGTTGCCAGGTTATAATATTTCTCCTTCGATAATAACTTACCAGGGACGGGTCTGGGGATGGATACGTGCTCACCTAAAGAAGACACGCTAACCACCAGTATAACGTAGATATCCAAGTAACCCATCCGGATCTAGAGGTATACGAGGGCCTTCGTATAATATCTATTGTATATAATATATATCCGCTACTCGCAATATCCAGGAAGATTGGCGTGTCTAAAGGTAACAAACACTGGACGGTTAATGCTAACAAGGTGGCTCCACTTAGACGGCCGTGCGACGGCACCCGAACGCACTACGGAATCGCACGAAGTTTATTATGACATTCGTCCAATCACAGAGCTCGTCTCATTCTTGTCTATTCGGTTAAACACAAGCGTCTTTGCGAGCGTAGCGTAACCTTTTATTACGGAGTTTAGTGACAGTTGGTTAAATTTTTATTCTTCACTGTTTCGTATGCTGTCACTCACTTACCTCGTGTACCTGGAGGGATTCGCCACTTAGCTGCCTGCACCAGGAATCCACGGTCCCTGAACACGATAAAGACATCGTTCCTCGGAGCATCTTTAATGACTCCATGTAAACGGCGTAGACGGCACCCTGGGGTCAGTGTCAAACTAAAACCCGAATATATATTGACACTCGTAGCATTTGCTTCTCGCGGATACATATACGTACTGGTTATTATTAGCCTTTAGGCACGGCTATTATTAGCTACGCAGAAAGCCGTGATGGCTGCGTTTACTCAATTAATCGTATACCTAGGTGCCGACGTGCTTGCCGGGATGCCTGGCGTCTCCAGTGACTGTGTGGGACTCATCCTGGTATTCCGTGTTAATCCTGATCATAAAAATCATTTCCTGTAGTCTGGCTTTGATTGATCATCTGTACGTTGCTGTACGTATGTATATATTATGAATGTACTAAGTAGCGAGGTTAGTTGAATTTTTTAGCAGAGACAAAGGAATCCTCGTGAAAGTTTTCGTGGATTACTTTAGATTGGATTATGAAATTAGTTGATTTCAATGAACCACAAAATCTTTTACTGAATATCGAGTAAAGGATGACTGGCCTTTCCGTCGTGAGGAAAGTTTCGAGTTGGGACGCGCGCCTGATTCTCTCAGAACGTTTAGTTCCCGGAACGGCCGCCAGTTGGCGCCCGTTGTCACGGCGGTTCGCAGGGGTAACTTTTAATCGGCGTACGAATACCGTGAAACGACTCTCGTCGTACACTACGTCGACATTTCCTGTGATAGCTTCTCATGAAAGGTCTTCTGACATCAAAATTTTCTCACAAACAGCTGCGCGTGTCTGGGTTGAAAAGTTCATCGCTCAAAAGTAATATGTCAGAAATTGTCTATTCCCTCGCAAAACAAACAGCAAGACATCCATAAGAGAACCCTGACAATTGATATTGACAAAAATCTTAAACATACAACTACCTCAATAAACCGCCCAATTATCATGTAACTGACGCATGCATATTAACCAGATTAAAAAAAAAGAAACTAAAATAGACTCGACCTAATAATTTAAATAAAATTCTATTATACCGACTGTCACCCGTAGACGTTTTTACTAAACGCGAAAGAAATAAAAGAAAAAGGTAAGATACCCAGGACGATCCTGAAATAATCCAACGACCCGGTGCAGTCAAACCAGTTTATCCTAATGCTATATCGAAGCGAATCCAAGATAGGAAATGAGAAGTCCGAGACAGAAGACAGTCAGCGAGACAAGTGAGCAGGACAGTGGCAGTGTCCTGGGTAGTCCTGGGGTGTCCGCGGCCAGGAGGAGGTGCGCAGCACGGGGATGTGGTGCAGGCAGGGTCCGTTCGTATCGATCGGGCGTCTGCGGTAGATTGACACGTGTCATGGCCGCCTCGCCTCAGCCTCGGGAGCGCGAGTAGAGTAGACGGAGAAGGCGGATGGGTATATAGCGAGAGCGAGAGAGAGCGTAGCCAGAGGAGGAGAAGGTTTGAGAGGTGGCGGGTGAGTGTTGGGAACGGGCGGTGGGTGGTAGGCGACGGGGGGTGGCGTCGGCGGCGTCGAAGGCGCAAAGGGGATGAAGCGGGGATCGGGAGAGAGGACATTAAGGTGCGTAATAGCCAGCGGGGCGAGCGCGCACCGCCGCGGCATCGATTAGACAGAGGCTCGCTCACCCCTTGCTAGATGCAACCCTCCATCCTCCGCCACCATCAACCCCCCGAAGCTCCGCCACCCTCTCTACGGCAGTTCTACTCTCGCCCGTCGACCAGCCACCCACCAAACCTCCCTTAGGGATGGTCGTGGCGATGGTGGCCCACCACCACCGCCTTCGAACTGGAGAGCCCCGAGTACGTGCTCTACATACACCCATCCACCCCCCTCCGCCCTTATGTCAAGTCCTGTCCTGCCACTGTACCTATCTACACACGCGCCAACCAGGACACCGTCTAACGTCGTTATAAACATTAACCGTGCGGCTCAATATTCCACGGACCTTACCGCTAGGCGTTTCACCTACCGGACCACCCTTGCCCTGGTTCCTACCAATCTACCCCTCAGGTACCTATATCGGACCTAGACTCACTGGTGGCTAACTACGACGGGTACCCACCTAGGTCCACCCGTCCAACCAAGCAGCGCAATGCTACCGTGCATTATGCATACACCTATATAGCTGTCCGCTAAACATATAATCGTGCCCCTTCGTTCCAACCCTCTTTTTTTTATATTACCCACGTCTCGTTGGAATTTCAGTAAAAGGGTCGCCGTACGCGTATTCGCTCTGACAGGTGTACAGTCGTGCTTTAAATTCGATTCGAACTTCATGATGAATTCGCTATTCCCAATAGCAAGGCCAGGACCGTCTGCAGGGTCAGTGCTTACGCTACGTGTCTTGTAGGCTAGGTCGCTGTCCGTTCGGCCTGGGTATCGGTGATTAGCGTTGTTCTTATTAAGCCGGCAGGATCCTCGATCATTCCCGATCCAGCTGCCTCATCCTTCTCTCTCGACGCGGGAGCCGCGGACCGGATTGAAGTTCGTCAGGGACAACTTTCGTAAATAGTAATTACTTTGCCAGGAGGTTTGACAGAAGCAAAGTGATGGATACCTGGACTATACTTGTGCCAGTGGTCCACCGGGAACGCATCCCAACCATCTCGTCACAACTAGCGCTTGGTCCACCCCTCGCTACCTCCCTGCCCGTCTCACCCCTACATCACCCAGTGAATCGCCCCCCCATCACCCCCCTCAACCGACTCCCCAAGCACTCACCACTAGAATTCTCCTTCTTCAGCCCTTCAGGAACCTTCCGCCATTTAGCCACCCTCTCGCCCTTCATCCCTTATATACTTTTCTCTATCATTCTCTGACATCCCTTATACCTAACCTGCTCCCATCCCTTGCTCACCCACTTTTCTTCACCTTCCTAACGGTTCCGATTATGTTTTTCTCTATTTCCACAAATCATTCTTTCCAACCCTCCCCCCTCCCTCCCCCCTCCGGACACACCACCACCCTTCGACACTTCTAACCAATAATGAAGGATTAGTACGCGCTCAATCACTGTAGCTGGCTAATGTGTCGGATAATAATTACGTTCAGCTTATCATATCATCTCGACTTCTCATCCAGTCTTATCTATAGCAGATAGCGTCGAGGGATCGTTTTTTTTTAATCAGTTTTGAAAATTTGTTAAATTTTTTACCCACGATTAGCATACCGGATAATGCCGTTCTTTATCGTCGATCCTGTCAATCCGGTCTGGGATTGATTATTTTAGCCCAAGGGTGGTTTAATACAGTGCTCGTACTGATACTTGCATTGTGCCCCGTCCACATTGTGCTCTGGGCTCAACAAGTTCCTCCCTTGCGATTAAAGTGGCGTTTGTACACGTCAGGGTGAGCCTGGCAATTAATCCATTATCTTTTATCAGGAGCGTAAGAGGCGCTGCTCACCTGCCCTGCGTGATTCGTACCTTCGGTAGCAGCTGACATATTTCTTTACTTTTCTTTCCTCCTTTGCTCATTCTTTCAACCCTCTTTTTTTGCCACGGTCTCCAATAATGAAGGATTAATCGGACACTTGTCATCGCTCAGGCTGCAGCCTCCATGTTTCTTCGATTCCATTTCGCAGAAGATGCGGCGGGGATGCGTCATCGATATCGAAATTGACGTATCGATATCACCCGGTCGTTACGGAACACGGCCAATTAGTCTCGGGCCCTATTTATTTTTTCGGTAAACACTCGTAAATCCTCACGTGACTTCCTGTCAGGATTCTCACATCCCTGTATACTTCCTGCCTTTGCTTATGTATATATATATATATATATATATATATACACACACAGACCCCATTTCATTTTGCGGAGTCATCCACCCTTCATGCGTATAATCACCCTCCTCGAATACGCCACGTTGTATCATCCTAAAGGATAAAGAAGAGAATTTGACCTTTTCCCGAGCTCTCTGAATTTCCGGTAAATTTAATTCATACTTTTGCTCGCTCGAGTACGAATATACGTATGGACCGTTCGCGAGTTCAATGTGCTTTTTCTTTTGACAGTTCGCAAACAGTGCAATTCCCAGCAGATCGCACGTGGTTCTGTGTACAATTTTTGCAACGAAGTATCCACCGTTTTGCACCGAAGTAAATTTTTCTAAATTACCATACATTTTCGCCACGTGTGATTTGCCAAGGACTGTATTGTTTAGGAACTGTCAAAGTGACAGATTGAACACGTGGGCCGAGCCTACGTACGTCCGACAGAAAATTCGATAAAATATTTTAACGGAGTAAATTTACGTCACGTGAATTTTACACTGTACAAAAACGTGTCGCGTATTATTGAAATTAAAAAAAAATTTCCTAGTTACTCGACAGAGTCAGAATTTATTGAGAAATAAGTATAAATTTTTTTTATCGTTCGAGATTGTTCATTGATACCGAGTAATTCAAAAGCAGTCAATAGTCCGTTTGAATCGAATGCGTCAATGGCAGAAATTAGAGAGGGGTTGCTGCCAGAGATGATGGGAGGGCGAGGGGGGTGAGGGCGGCTTTACAAAATGGGAGCGAAAGGCGAAGCAGAGAAGTAGGGACGGGAAGGAAACGGACCGGGACGACGGGCTACGTCGGGACGTCGGGACGTCGGGGAGGCAAAGTGTCGTCGTCCGAATAACGGCCACGCGGCATCGACCGATCTTCCTTCTCCTCGGCCTCCACGACGCATCAACTTGTTTCCCTTCCGTTCCACGAATATCGAATTCAATTTCGCTATTAAATGTCGGCCATTGTCTTTCCTTAACTGTGGAATAATTCTGTTGCTGTTTCCAATTCTTTGTATTATTATTATAACTTTTCTCTTATCTCCGCCTAAAAGTCCCGTTGCGTGTTAGGTTAAAGTTGCTGCTTTAAGAAATGTTAATTTTTTTTATATTCAATACAATAAGTTTCAGTTGGTAATTTTTGCACATTTGATTATTTTTCTTTATAATATACATATATAATACGGACAGTAGTAGTAAAAATGTATTTAGTTAAGAAATGGTAAAGTCGAACGACAACCAAAGTTTTTGGTATCGAAGGGACCTCGTAGTGCAATTAGCAGTCAGCGAATCACGTGACATTAGAGTCGAGTCGTCGTAAACCCTTTGAAATTTGACGTTGCCGCGTGTCGCCTTAACGATAACGGTGCATTCTCATGCGAGCTGTTTCACGTTATTTTCAAGCAGGCCTTAAAGGAACCAGTTGGTCTACCCGGTGGACTTTTTTTTTTACCAAGATGGAAAGTTACGAGGACGACGACGACACGCACTTCTGTATAAAGTGTCACGCTACTGTCAATGGTCTTGACAATTACGTGCGTCACAGACAGGCTGGCTGTCAAAGTTCCGAAAAGCAGGAGGAAGTTGGTCGGGACACGCCATCCACGCCGGCGACCACCTCCTATCCGGAAATACTGAACGCCGACGCGTTCTTCAGCTCCCTGGAATTGCAGAGCAGCTCGAAAATGAACAGCAGGAGAAACGAGAGTCTGATTGAACGCGGTAAGAAATTGGGTCGACCCAGGGGACGAAGGAAGATACGTAAGAGTATCGAGGAAAATGAGGGAAAGGAGAAGATACATATGCTCCCTGTTGTTACGGACCTGGACGATCCCACCGATCACTTCGGTATACCGTCGTTGGTGGGATTTCCGGATATCGTAAGTGCTTCTGGCAAAGCTGGGACTTCCGGCAAGAGCTGCGCACAGCAGATGCACAATACGAAGATGGAGAACTCTGGGTTCAATAATAAAAGCGAGAACATGGCTGGGTCCAGTTGTTTGGAGACTTTGATTGGGACCGAGGTGAAGCAGGGCGATAGGAAGCGAATTGAAGATTCCCAGAGGATCGATCAGGATCAGGTCTGGTTAGAGGATACGATCCTGGAGGATCTGGTTACTCAGGACAACAAGGATATGACGCATAGTCAGTTCACGGAGTACGACTATCGGCAAGATGACGACTCCGTGGATGATAGTGTTGACGATAATCTTCCTGAGGACGACTCCTACTCGGATACCGATGATGATCGTCAGGATTATCCTCCCAGAGGACATACTGGTGGCAAATGGAAACCAGGACTGTCCAGTAGTCCTCCTCGGAGCATGGTACAAGTTACGGAAGAAGATGAAGAGGCTGAGGATAATCCTGAGCATCCGCCACCATCGTACACGGGTGGCAAGTGGAAGCCCAGTGACAATTCTCCGAGTCAGGTACTGTGTCATCATTTTGGGTTGGCGAAATAGATGGTATAATACGTTTTGAAAATTTTGTTCCTGCAGAAGGAAGACGAGGAGCAGGTTAAGGAAGCTGGTGAACAGCCACCGCCAGGACATACCCGTGGCAAATGGGTTCCAGGGGCGAGGACGGATATCGGTTCAGGATATTGGTGTAGTCCTTGTGGCAGGAACTTGGCGTCGCGCCTGGTTTATAACAGGCACTTGCTCTCGGACCTTCACGCCAGAAGGAGCATTCAGGAGTTCGACGGTAACATACGTCTACCACGGAGAACAGGACCTCTTTTAAGGAAGAAGAGTACCAGTCGCCGTCAGAGAATATTGGCCCTGGTGAGGATCTTGGAAAGTTGGCAGGACCTGAGGGGATCCGTTTTAATTGATGCGATAGTTTATTTTTTTCTAAATATATATATATTTTTTTACAGAAAGCTAAACAGGCCAGTGACTCCGTTGAGAACAGCGATCGCAAGAGGCTTCGTAAAAGGGAAAAGGAAATCCTGTGGTGCGAGATGTGCCACGCCAGGGTGAGACGAGCGCAAATGGGGAAGCACTTGCTGTCCCATTACCACTGCCGCGTGGCAGGTGCGAATCCTTGCGGTTCCAAGGAGCGGAAGTTCATCCTTGACAATATGGCTAATATCGTGCGTCAATGTCCTTTCCAATGCGCGGCATGTCGCTTCTATTGCAACACCGAGGAGACATTTCTGCGGCATTGGAAATCCACCTTTCATAAGGACATACATAGTAAAGTAAGCTAAGGATGATTAAGGATCAGACAGAAGTAATGAAATTATTTTAGAAGATATTTAGATTATACGTCCCTGTGTCCTTTCAGATAAGAGGTAGCTACCAGTGCACTTCCTGCGACTTTTGGTGCGATGCGAGCGACGACATGGAAACGCACTTTAAGAGTTCCGCTCATTGTGACGTAGTTTCCGTGATGAAGGACTCGGTGCCCGTTGTGATACGTCGACAGATTCCATTATCCTGTAGCTCCTGCACTCGTCACTTCCGTTACAATATTCAGCTTCGTTTTCATGCGCGCGACACGGGTCACGAGAGCGTGACAGGGTCCGACGAGTATCAGCAGAGGATACAGTGTAATCTGTGTCCTCAGGTTCTTCGATCTTTCATTTCTCTCCAGCGGCACCAGTTAACCAGCCACTCCAAGGATCAGGATCAGGAGCTGAACGAAGTCTCGAAGCCAGCTCCCTACTTTTGCTCCTTCTGTTCACTGAAGTTCAGCAGCGCCCAGGAAGCTGTTCAGCATCGTCGAACGTCGCGACACAAGGAAATCGTAAGGCTGCATAAATCCCAAGGATCGGCATCACGTAGAGTGCGCGAGTGTCCCCATTGCGGAAGGAGGCACGTCAGTTTGTCCGAGCACAAGGAGCACCTTCTTCGTAGCCATCCTGAACTCTGTCACAGGTACGACTCCAGAGCTGACTTCAGCATCCTAATTTCCTAAAGGCATAAAGTTACTCTGTCCTCAAATGAGACCTGGTTCTCAACAGATGTCCTAGGTGCGGCATGCTCTTCGCTTTACCGCAGGACGTGACCAGACACACCAAGGATCACTCCTGCTCCGATGAAGGACGTCCAGACGAGACGGAGCTGCATTTTAAGTGCACCAGCTGCACCTTCGGCACGAATTCACGCGCCGAATTCCTCTTCCACGAGGCATTACACGCTGGTAGCTTCGAGGACGAGGAGCGGAATCCCGAGGAGGGTGTAAAGGCGCCGCGAAAATACAGATGTCCCGAGTGCAAGAAATCGTACAGCAAGGTCTCCCTCAGGAATCACATAAGGAGTCACACGGGAGAGCGTCCCTTTCCGTGCGCCAAGTGTCTGACATCCTTTTCCCGAAGATCAGCACTGAACGCACACCAGAAAGACTGTCTGTTCGCATCCTGCACCACTTCCGGTTCTGGATACCAAGACGAGACCGGAAGACGTAGAAATTATATCTGCGCGGAGTGCGACAATGGCTTCTACACCAAGTAAGTACACGACGTACAATAATTCTTTAAATTTTCAAGAGTAAGACGGAGAACAAATGACACCTTACCTTAACCGGAAGTCAGGACGATCGGAAAGTCCGGAGGATACTGCGCCCACCGTAACCACCATCCCTTGGTATATAAATAAACGATGGAGCATTTGGGGAAGGATAGAGGACAATAAACGCGCGCGAACTGCCCGTGAAGCGGGCACAGCAGTAAAAGTGTCTTCGCTGCATAACTGTAAAATAAAGGAGCGTATCTCCTGGCGAAGAAGGGAAAGATGGCCGGAGAGCAAGACGAGGCTCCGAATGGTATGAAAGAGCAAGAGAGCGCAAAAGAGAAGTGTTCAAAAGCATAAGACAGACTGAGGTTTAACGAACTTGAGATTTGGTTAAATAATGTTAGGGGATAAATGAACTAGTGCGCATGCGCCCACCGTACAGGTCATATTAACATCTCATAGTGGTCCGTAAGCCCACGGGTCATTCTAGTATTTAACAGGTCTGTATTATGGGCCGCGTAAGTATACCTTCTAATACTGGCATTGGCTGGCTGGTTGGAAATATGTGTACCTAGCCGGTGGTGTGTCCTCGGGTACGTGGATAGTATTAAAGCATGGCTGGGTGTAGGGACCGCTATAAAGCAAATGTTAACACCTTCTCTCCGTCCCTCTCCATCTCTCTCTCTCTCTCTATCTCTCTCTCTCTCTCTCTCTCTCTCTCGCTCTTCTCATTCCAAACTCCATCTCATTCTCACTGACTCACCACGTCTAGCCAAACCTCTCTCCGCTCTCACGGAGTTGGACTCGCGTTATGTTCCAGCATCAGCTATTCAACGGCAACCTATTCCTCCTACAGTGGTAGCCCTCTAGGTAGAAATACATACTAGCTATGGAAGCCTCGAAGCGAGGGTTGCGTTTAATGCCGGCGTTGCGGCATCCGCGGCTTTCGCCATTCGAGGGATTAGGCTAGCCTGTTGTTCCAAAGCCTTTTACGGCCGTTTGTATATCGTGCCGCTTGCGATTCGTAAGCCGCTACCTAAATAAAACCAACGCTTCGTACTACACTTTGACCCTGTACCCGATGCCGGTCAGGAAAAGAGTGGATAGTCGTTTTTGAGGTTAGGTCAGAAAGATTCCAGACTCCATGTGTACGAGCTATCGGAATTCTTTTACATACAATATTAAGATAAAGCATATACGATTATATAGCTCGTTGGATAATCAGAGAGTCTTATGGTGTATTGATATTTCCCAGGGTGCACCAGCAGTTGGATAAGCCGAGGCTGTTCATTACGTCGTGTCGGCCGAACGAACCACCAGGCGTCTTGTAAGAGCAGGTCTGGTTAACGCAGTAGAAACGGACGGGATCGGTGGGTGGATGGGTAGGTGTAACCGGGATGGTGGGAGTAGGTTAGGGTTAAGGGTATATATACTTAGGTAGAAGAGAGCGGCAGAGGGGGAGGGACGGAGCCGATTGCGGATGGTAAGAAAGAAAGAAGGTAATTACGAGACGGGCAGCTCCCGCGCACTGGAACGTCCCCAATTCTAAGAATACGCGACCGGCCGGGATGTATGCGCATATTCAAGATAGTATGTTACATACGCGCGCTACTGACCGTACGTTTCACCCTGCAGTCTTCTTCTTCTTCGTCCTCGCCGTCGTCGTGTAGTACCCTACGTATGTGCCTTCCCCAAGGTATTTACATATATGGACCGCGGTGTGGCGCGCGCGTATCTTTTATCTTCCGTTGCAGTAATGGCGCTCCGCGTCCGCCTCCTTTCGTACCGGTCAGGTATGTACCCGCGTACACGTAGATACGCATACTGGGTGATCCGCGAAACTGTGCATACTGCCTTCGAGAAGGCTTATGGGGTCAGGATAGAGCCTGGTTGGTTTGAAGTAATTAAAAAAAAATAATAATAGGGGATTCTTCGATATTGTACGTAACCATTGTTATTATTTTGGAAAATAATTCCGTGATTGAAAGTTTTTATAAGTTCGAAAGTTGGGCTTGGTGGTTTTTACTTTTTACGGATCACCCCATAGACACCCTTAAATAGCTAGGACCCATCGGAGTCGATGCCGATGGTGGTGGCGACGGCGGGTTCAGTGGTATGCGTGAGATCTGCATGGCTCTGAAACAATGCAATGCTGTTTGGCTGGCCGGTAAGTGTTGGTTAGGTGGTGTCCCTAGGCCGTAGGATATGCCGCGGTACGGGGCTACGTCGAGTACAGTGTGGTATGGTTTGCTATGGTTCGGTATGGTGGCACGCGGTAAGCACGGCCCCGTGTATGCAGACAGTTTAGTGGTGACCGCCCCGCGAGTCCAGTTGTCGCGTGAAATATTGCGATTCATAAAATAAAACAGGCCTGCGGTCGAGGACGCGCAGATATAGCTGGCACGGCCGCTAACCATCCTGACCAACCTCCACCTCCTCCTATCGTCCTCCACAGCGGCTCCTCTTCTTCCCGTGCTTCACTCGCGGACTCCCAGGGACTCCTACCTCCTCTTCGCTGAGCCCCTTCCGTACCTCCTGGTACCCTGTCTATTCGTGGACCCCCCCCCTGCACGAAGCGTCGCCAAACCGCAGCCATCGCATCGCAGGACGCACCGCGTCGTCGTCAGGACAACCCTTTATTTTTTATTTATTCCATATATATTTCTTTTTTGTTTTTCGTGGTCACCCCAGTGCCGCGTCATGGGTATCGTACGGATGCGAGTATGGGACTGGCGTAGGTATATGGAGAACAGGATAGAGTGGGAAGAAGGTACGTAAGGGTTGATGTAGAGGAGGCTGATTCATCCCTAAGGACGTTCTTCGGAAATGCTAGCCAAGGAAGTCCTGGCCCAAAGGAAGACGCGGATTCCTCCTTTCCTCGGTGAAATTAGCGAGTGACATGTTTATTGTAAATGAATCCTACTCCAGCGCTCCGGGATGGGGCGGGCTGGGTCTGCTGTACTGGTACGGGGGTAGTTTTGCTCGCGCTGGGGCTTCCGATTTATGCGCCCGTTACCGAGCCCTCTGGCGCAATTAAGCTCGCGTTATAATATTGTTGTTTATTCTGAGCCTCGCCTGCGAAGCGTTAACCACCCTCCAGCCAGTGAGCCACCCACCTAACCAGCAGCAGGCCAGACCGGCAGGAGGTGGAGGTGGGAAGCATCCCCTGGAAAAGCAACCTCGAACCATCCTCTACCCCCCCGCCCCATTTGCCACCCTCATCGAGGGAGCGTAACAGCCCCACGTACCCCTAATCTTCCTGACGCGGCAGCCACCTTTTCGTCCGCCCTACTCTTTCTCCTGCCGTTAACCGACAACGCCAGGGCGTCGCGCATTGCGGACGAAACAGAGCTCATCAAGCCTCCTCTTCTTGCTCGAGGCTTCCTTCTAGCCGAGGACGTGGCATTTCGTAGATTTGCCCTCGTGCTCATCCTGCCTCACTCGGGGCGTCCATGTTTACTTCGGATACACATACGGACGCGAGCGCCACCTTTGATTGGCTCTATTAATTTGAACTTATTCCGACATAGTCACGTATCACGCTAATGAAACGGGCCGTGAGCTCGCTGAGCGCGCACCACCCTCGACAAACAACGGCCAACCTAACCTATCTCGTATGCCTTTTCTTTTCACCCGCCGTGTAAACGAGTAATAGTCGCCAATTCCGTGAAACGTTCCTGCCAACTGGGAACAACCTCACGTTACGGTCTTACGATCCGACCTAACCTCAAATACGACACTCTCGACGGATTCCTTCTGGCGTGGCTATGTTCACGGCTACGGGATTCCAGGAGGCCAACGTGCTTATACGTACCTGGCAGTGTTACCGTCGATGGATTGGTTGGTATAACTGCTGCAGGAAAATGGCGAGGCATGTGATCTCCTTCGTATATAAGGATGCGCCTCAGGAGGTATCTCGATGGTACAGGTGTAGCTGGGACAGGAACGCTGGAACGCTGGAACGTATAAGGTACCAATGGACGAAGGTGGGATTGAGTTATGACAGCGATGCTCCAGGGGGCCGGCTCTGCCGGCCAAGCGGATATTCTTCTTATTCTTTATTTCTTCTTCCCAGTCGAAGCCACGTCGGCCATGCATCACCTTCGGCTCAGCTCGGGTTCGGCCTCTTCTGCATCGGCCACCATTCCGACCGTCCCAGCCAATCTTCGATTCCACCCACTTCTCTTGGATTAGAGAATTACTATTCGGGACTCACCTTGATGAATAATTGGTCTGGCTCCGTTTCATTCGAGGATGACGATCCAAGGACCTGAATTCATTCGGCTCGTCCACGCTCCTCGTCAAAACAAGCCTTTCTTTAATCTGCGTTAAACGACGCCCGAGTCTCTTGCGATTATCTTTATCGTGCTCGGTACACTGAATCATGTCCTGGACTGACTTTATGCCGTATCCATAACTGGTAGCATTGGCGGGATATTTAAAAAACCATAATTATGTGCATACGTTATTACAGAGATAATTAACGCTCGCGCCTGCTTACTCTTTGTACACAAGAAGTCTAAGGGGTGCTTTGTAAATAAAAATGTATGGAACCAAGGGGGACAGGTTCAAAGACCCAACGAAGGGTGGATATCCATAAGGAAGGGGGTGGAAGACCAAGATCGCTTCAAGTGGAACCCAGATGAATCCTCACCATCCGCATCGACCGACAGAGAGCGACCGGCCATAAATACCTCAGCGCGTTCAGCCAATTAAAACAAATCATTTTAATGCGCAACCTTTTTAATTAATGCCCGTGCTCACTCCCATGGTTCCCTCTTCGTTGTACACGGATGGGCGCTTCACTCGTTTTGCCATTCCCAACCTGAACTCCTAGAGACCCATCCAGGTTATATTAACCTACCTTACCTACTCGGACCATGAATCCATGGTGTCCGTGAATCCCTGAAGTCAACGTATATACATAGCCATTCAAGCGAACTCCTATATCCTATAGTTAGCTACTTGATTTTAATTACACGAATTGTCACTTAGGATTTACGAGGTTTTTCATTGATTAGCTGCGCTCCGGATGATTTATATTTATTGACCGGTTCAAGCGATAGCACACCCTCACGGGATTCTGAACGTTAATGAAATAAAAGTTGAGTCTCAGCAGTTTGTTGGGTAGAAGGAAAAATTCGCACCATCATCCGATATCATTATTGGCAAATCGACATTGAGGTTGTATCTAGGAACGAGCGTCATCCGGAAATGTCCCAATGACTATGGAGAACGGGTTTCTTCGTTATTGATATTTTTCTCTTTCCCATCCTGTTATTTGTCGAAATGTCACAAGAGCCCGGCCAGTTAACGTACGTCTACGTGTTATTGACGAATCTAATAATTAACGGCCGACAGGATTATACTTTTAAATAATGTCGCGCACCGACGTATTTTACACGATGACAGTTCAAAGGTAAATTATCGAGAGTGACCGCATCCGGTTGCCCAACGACGAATAGGCCGTGCGGCTAATGGCGTCTTGTCACGCCTGCGACATTCCACAAAAACTGCCGATCTCTCATCAGCGACCGTCCATAAACCAGCCCGTCGCGCATTAGCATAGTTCCTCTATTTCGGGCGGCTCCCTTAATTCCTGACGCAGCGACCGACCGCCTAGTTCGAAACTTTGATCTTGATCGTGCGGCTTTAGTCGCGCGAGCGACAGTCGCATGAGCGATAACAATTCATTATCGGTTATCAAGTCTCGCATAGTCGCAGTTGTAACGTTACATCTAGAATTTTCAGATTTCATAATTTTTTCTTTTTCTTTTATAATTCCTACTACCGTATTCCATTAATCTCTGCCAGCATCTATTTAGTCGCTAACTACAGGCATATACGTATAAGATATCCTTACGAGGCATCCTCATGGCGAACGAAGCTTTGAAAAGTCTCTTGATAATTTCTTCTGCAATTCTTGATACCTTCTTAGAGATGCGTACGCGAATAACGTATGTAAAGTGGATATACTCGCGCCTGGGCGTGTATATCCCCCACAATGTAAAACTCTTTGTTACACTTGCGTAGCCAATTGCAGCCGGGTTCTTCGCCTATCGGACAGCCCAGATCTCGCGGCCCTGCCGGCCATTGCCTATCAGCCGATCCTGAAGAATTCCCGTTTCGATTCCAGCTTCCATGCCGATGCTGGAACATTCCGTGGCTCGACCAGTCTCGACCTCTTGTATTTATTTTGTATTTTTTTTTTTCATTACGCACACATGTAGCATATACAAATGCTCTCTCTTTCTTTTTTCTCTGTCTCACTCGGTATATATATATATATATTTTTTCTCCTTCAGACACGCTCTTCGACAACACATGCTACGCCATGCTGGTAAAAGATTCAAGTGCGGACTTCCAGGCTGCCCGACGATCCTACGTACAGCCGCCGAACTGAGGTCCCACAGACTCCTGGTGCACGAGACTTCCGCACAGGACCGGAAGTACACCTGTTCCGTATGTCCTTACGCGGCCAAGACATCGATACAGCTGAGAAGGTGTGTCCAGAGTCCACTGAGCTTGTCTTTCTAAAAATTTACGCATATATTAATTACTACGTCATCATTAAATTGATTCCGTTGATTTATAGAGAATGGACCAAAAATAATTCCATAGGAATGCCTCTACGTCAAATTAACGTGGACGTAATATATGCTTGGATACAAAATTTTTCAAAACAGTTCCTAAGCAATTTACTCAGGGACACATAGAGAGACGATCATCGTATTAGGCACCAACCGCCACGCGATGATCGATCGTTTAATGAGAATTGCGAAATTAATTACTTCATCATCGAGCTAAAGGAATGTATGCGTGCTGGAATCATCCTATAGAGCCGTGGTGGTGTGACGGGTGCGTGGGGGGAGAGGAGGACGACGAGAGGGGCGGGAATGGAGGGGTTAGCCGCATGTACTTAAGAATTCGTGTATAGATCAACGAGAGGTAAGAAATAAAGAAAAAGAAAAAGAAACGTGGTTACTTTCACCATTGTCGTTGGAACTCTCGACGCCGCTCCTCGGGGCTAATAAAAACGCCCACGCATTTCCCGGAGCGTTGTAAAAGTCAAGCGACTCGTCAGGATGCTCCTCTTTCTTGCTTGTCTTATTTTTTTCCTGCCTTTTCTTTTTTTTTTTGTACCATTGTACACGCGTAGTCGGGACACTCTGTCAACTATGAGAAGAAACAAGGGGATTACGAGAAGTAAGAATAATAATAATAATAATAAAATAAGAATTCTACCCAGGTTCAGGTTCGGTCCCATGCTGAAGCGTGAGCCGAGGTCCAGGTTGAGGTTAGGGTGAAGAAAAGTTCCTGAAGTGGTGGGACTTGGCGAATCCCTGTTGTACGATCATAGAGCCCATAATGGACGCCGTATTTGGGACCCTTGTAGGTGGTAGGTGGTGGACGGTTTGTAGGTTGTAGATTTGCGAGGTGGCCACGATATTTCATCGCGAATTGAGTACTTACCGTGAGAGTCCGTGGGGTAACGCGACGGTGTCGCAGTGTGCGGCGGAGTAAATCATACAGCATTTTAATTAAACGTGTCACGCATTTCGAAACTGATATACCACGCATGGTAGGTGGCACCGGTGGTCGAGCTTTGGAAACGAGCCATTACGTGCTTATGGGCATATCTATACTCCATGCGTATATGAGCATCAGTCATATTCGCTTGATGCGACATCTGCCGATGTCAATAAACTCGCACGGTAATCCATGCCGATAAACGTCGTCTAAATTGTGAATATCCATAAGGATTCATCGAAAGACTGAACGGCTAGATAACCTGAAGTATGAAACACTTAACCTTGAAGATTAATTTTATATCCTGATTTCAGGCACACCCGAAGGCACGAGCTGCGTACCGACGAGTTCAAAGATTCCAGTTATCAATCTTGTCCTTACTCCGGCTGCCAATTCAGGACCAATTTGACGTCGCACATGAGACGTCACGTACGTCGTCACACTGGCGTAAAACCTTACAAGTGTCGACACTGTCCATACGCCAGTAACAATCTGGTAAGTCGCCATCTTCAATTCTGTAAACGGATTCACAACGCTAGTCACTCGTTACTCGATATTACTGTTAAATAATTTACTTACGAAGTTCGCAGTACTTCTGTCGTCATACGTAAATTTAGCGAGGGGACACCTTTATGTTTGGACTGCACTGCCGCGCGATAAGATAACGAGTTAATTGTGCTCACCGAATGCCCACACACGCACGGTCCAGTCATACAGCGGCCAGTATGCTAATGCTCTTTGAAGCTTTAGTTGGGATGCGGCTGGCATACGAGACTTGGTGTCTTTTTGATAGCGACATAAACTCATTCCAGTGGTTCTCAATTGGCGTTAATAAAATAACGACGGGACTTACCTTCGTAACGCTAAGGAACTTCGGATATGACATGTTAGGTTATGTTGCCAATACCAGACAACGTACAGTCCTCTCGTTGAATAAAACTGAAACTAGAACTCGAAGCTGTACCAGATGTTACCGATATCTATCTGGCACCCTCTTCGACGGCTGTTTGCTCGGTATTTTAATAACGAAGGAACGTGCGAGGCACGGCCCGTTTAACGGGCGATCTTCTCTTCTACGGGGTGGCGGAAAGGCGCGCTGCGTCAACGAGATTACACGCGCCACCTTCCGCGTTATGATTTAGCTCGGCTGGTTACACGCTTCTTTCTCGCTCCTTCGTCCCACCTCCTTCTTCCCTCGGGATCTTCCTTACCTTCCTACTTTACCACCAACACCACCTACGCGGACTCTGTGCGCACTACTCTCACTGTCACTCGCAACGGACTTCTGGCTTGTACGTGCACGAGCGGGACCGCGTGATCGCATTCGTAGAGGTTCGTTAGGTTAGGTTAGGTCGGACGTACTACCAACCTCTACCGCTGTGCGTGACTGTGTAAGCTGTACGCACGTCCACGTGAATATAGTCTGACACTCATCTTTGGGGGTTCCCTGAGGTATATACCTTGAACAACCCTCCTGCACAATACATCCGGTGTCATTATGCAAAATGAAGTATGCTCGTGTTACCGGGCGTGTGCCAGCGAGCAAACTGTCTGGAAATTGATTTTCGGCGGGGGGATGGACCACCCAGGGGGTCTTCGAGAACTGTGCTTCTGCTCTTGGTATGATAACTGTAAATCGACGCGAAGGTGTTGCGAATGGGGGATGAAAAATTTACGTGAGAATAATAAAAGATCTTAGAAGAGAAGGAAGGTGTGTATCTTACTTTTTTCTGTTATATTATTTTTTTCGGAGGAAGTTATCGATCTAATCGGTGGTGCACGTGTGGATACACCTTTAGCCATACGCCACGAGATACTGCCCGCGTAAAGATTTACTTATGGGAAATTAAATTTGATGTTGTCGGTGCCATCAACGGCTCGTATAAACTCTTGGTAGGAAGATGTTTACGACCCGGCGGCTACTTAGCTCCGGAGGAGTAAAGCGCGTGCACTTAACCGCACTGGTCCTAGCCGATGAACGTCAGGATTGCTGGCGCGAGCTCTGCTCAAGAACTATCGGTGAGAATGTACCTTGAAGCATTGACGTCCTTTTCCTTGTTTACAGGAGAACCTCAGGAAGCACGTGATCTCGACGAATCTTCATCCTGGCCAAACGATCTACGAGTGTGACGTCTGTCAGGACGATTCGTACCAGACGAATTTCGCCAAGGAACTCAGGGCTCATCTCCTGGAAGCTCATCCGGAGAAGTTTCCAACGCCTGTTCAAGCCGGTGCTCATCTATCTCGATACTTCGAAACCGATCCCGAGGATGAACCTGGTGCCAACTTCAACGAATAGCTATTTGGCAGTGAATCTGCGGACGATCCCCAGGTCGAATTAGTTTTCGTGGTGACTGTACCTGGCAGGAAGTAGTTAATATGATGCACGTTCAAGTGGCACGATACGTATCCCATGACAGTGGAAGATCCTGGACCCTTTTTTTTTCATCTTCCACTGGAATATGTACATGGTGGGAGTACCAGGATACAAAACCACAGGATCAAAGATATGAGAGACTGTTAAAAGATCAATGGCGACTGTCGTGCTATATTAAGAAATGCATCAATGTCTTCAGAGTGTGTAGGATAGGTGTCGTAAAATATGTCGTTCGACCTTCTAAAACGATGACTCTAAGAAAAAGGAGATTTCTCCAGACTGGCTGTTTGAGTGTGAAGGATAATTTATTGGCTAATTAACGAGGATGTCCTTCATTACAGCGCGAGGAGCAGTCGCTCGGTTGTTCCTCGTCTGGTTAGACCCCGCGCGTTGGGTCCGGTATTATTTGGTGCTTGAATATTTACGACCGCGTCCACATTGGAACGACGTTCCCGCGATACTGCTGTGCTGCCCCATAATGACGCCTTACCAATGTCGCCATGATTCCGGCTGATTGGAACTTCTTACAGTGACGCACTGTGATAAAAAGGAAGGCCAATGCGAATTGAGTAAAGTAGTAGAAAGATAAAAGATTGATTAAATATAGTAAAAAAAAATTATTTTTTATCTGATTATTTGAAATCGAATCAGTGCCGTACAGTGGGATATGCTGGGCCCTTGTTGTTGTAATAATAAACGTGTAAGGCAGCTGCGTGACGTTCTTGATAAGGAGGGGTATGAATGAAATAAAGAAGAGGACATCTTATAAGAAAGTAGTTGAAGAAGAAAGGAGTCCGTATCCCCGATGTAGATCGTAGCCAGGACGAGGCGCTAAGAAGTCCTGGCGGAACGGTGCCAGTTAATGAAGATATAACGAGCACAGGCTCCAGGGTTGGCACGACGTCGGCACCCCGACGCCTCGTTTCATCCCGATGTACCCGACGCCGCTTACACCCTATGCCCTTCCTTTCTCATCTTGACTACTCTCCTCTCTCGTTCCGTCTCTCTGCTCCATGTCGGGGACTCTGTTCAACCCCTCGCAGAGCGACACTCCTTCCCTGCTAAGGCGTCGGGACGCTTCTCATCCTCGTCTTCCTGTGACAGGCTTACCGAAGGAACCACCCTACAGGCCGTACAGCCCGTGGTCTTCTTGGCCGTGGGGGAGGGTCGAGGCTGCGAAATTCTACGGATTTCATTTCCCCAATTACACCTGGGAAATTTGTCCCAGAAGACGACGTTGCGGTGGTGTAAATACAAGACACTGGGGGTAGGTAACCCAGCAAGGGTGGGTAGTTTGTTCCTGCAAAGTCAGGATCTTCACTGAATATATATTCCACAGGCGTCTTCGTGGAGAATCTGAAAGTCAAGGGATGCCCTGTTAACGTTTGCGCCAAGTTAAGACGTCCCTTCGTGGCCAGGACGATTACTTTATCGTTACCTGGGATCGTTAGGATTCCGTACTCATCCACCAGGACGATATATTTCCCTGGGTAGAGTTAACGGAGGCTCGCGTGTACGACTCCTCCAAGTCCTGGCTGGTGTCATGCCGTGAAGAATCAGCAGGGTACTGCACACCCCCAAGCGCATAAGCGCTTCGGCTACGAGCCGTCTTAATTATCAGACTCGATTATTTATCGAAGAGACCCAAGGGGCCGTTATGCAAGACGCCATCCAGTGAGCGTAAGGATCATCCAAACGCAAAGATGGCAGCACCTCCGTGTACACATAATAACCCATGCATCGTCACCCGTGGAGAAGACGTCTTACCTCTTATCCTCGACCTCTTCGTCTTCCTCAACCAGACCCATCCAATCTTCTAAATAACCTCAAAAGTCACCCTTTTTTTTCTCCACTGCTTCTTTCTACCCTCTAGATCTTCGTTTTTGCCTTCCTCCCCAAGGTTTCACGCAACAGAACCTCTTTCCTTGCTCCACGGTCTCTGGCAGCGCGTCCCGAAAGAGTGCCATTCCAATTAATTTCTGAGTATCCAAGAGGACCACGCGGAGGCCCCATTCGCTGGCCCTCTGGCCCGCCTGGGATTGATGGTCCTCGCCGTAATGCCGTTTGTATGTAGCGGCGCGCGTAAGCGCCTCGCCTTACAGTAATTAGCTCAACAAACGCGCCTCCCTGTCCCATCAATTGCTACCCTACGCTTCGGGCTCTCGTATCTTGAATTAAACATTCGATGCCTCCTGTCTTGTCGGCGTGCACTTGAGCGGAATGCAAATATATCCTGGCGCGCGTTGCCGCCGAGTAGGGTTATCCAGCCGAATTAAGCAGAGGAACTTAAACCTAACCTAACAACACCGTCGCGCAGACAATCCTAAACAGTATCGCTGGGTATTTTTATACTTCTTTTGATTACCATTAATTGCCAATAGCTTACTCTGTCGGTAATGTAGGAATCTTCATCCCTTGACGGTCTAATATTTTTTTATTTTATTTTCTTAGGTGCTCAGAACCCATTATGACTCCAGTGCCTTATTGCAGCGCCACGGTGTCCAGTATAGACACTACATGCCTTCACGTATCTACAGGTATGACTGTGTATACCGGGTATATTACGTGTCCCCTTGTATTTATGATTGAAACAAATCAAACGTTATCAAGCATTCCGTTCCGGTGATAAAGAACACAGAGAAACGCCAAGGCATTCGTGGATGGGATAAGGATTGCGAAAATCTTCCCCTGCAAAAGACGTCCCATTTATGGCGGAAATGCGTCCGGGCACTGCTGGGAATTTCCATATCGTGTCATGCCCTGCAAGAAAGGATGCTATTACGCATTCAAAGGATAGTTAAAAAAAATAAATTAAAATACTCTAACACCCATAGTTCGTATTCCAATATACTTTGTGGGTGAATCGAAAGAAATCTTTGAGATAGTCCTGATTGTTTCTTTGTAAATGGATCTCGTATTTTCTCTCTCTCTCTCTCTCTCTCTTGTTTCTTTATTTCTCTTCACGATCCTACGCTCTTGGGCAGACTTCCTTCGCGGGTCCGAGTGATTTAGGGGCATCGTTGCGTGTATCACGCCGGTCCGTCCTCCTGCTAAGAGCGGCCTGGATGTGTATAGCGCGCGTATTGGTCTCCTCGTGGCTGCCTCCATGGTCCTGTGCACTAGGTGCATCCCGTAAGCGCATATAGACACCGCAAACCACTGAAACACAGACCCACCGATCCAGTTCACTTGATTTGTGGCTACAGAGAATCGTGGCCGGATGCTTTATGAACCGATCAGCTCGGTTCAACCGACCGCCGTATGGGCCCATAAACGTCACGAGTTTCGGGTAAGCGACGTGCAACCGACCTGGCCCTCTACACCGTCTCAACCGTCTCAACCGTCTCAACCTCCTCAACCTTCTCGACTTTATCTACATCGCCATCGTCTTGAAGAGTTTACGGCTCTGTTCAAAAATTTTTTACTTTAGTACACCTTATTTCATACTTTATGATACCCAGCTATTATTGCTGAATCAAGTTATTACGGCGGATCAAAATTATAATTGATAATGATGTTATTCCTTTTTTTTTTTAAATTAATTAATCATCCATCATTAACCCAACAGAGTCTGCATTGTTTAGGTTTGAACCCGAAAAAAAATTACATTCTCCTCCTGCATGCTAATGGCCAATGATGAAAGCCCGCAAATCACCGGGCTAAATAATGTATGCGAGGAGGATCCAGAAACGATTCGCAGTGCGATACCAGGAGTCGGGGACCGTGGCGATCGGTTGCACGGAGGTAAGGTTGGATCAGTGAGGTCCGGTAGAACGCGGATTTCTACGTAAACTCGCTCGTCCGATACGATCTGGGGCCCCTAGTGCGTCCGATCCACGTGAACTTCGATGCTCGAGCGCCTATACATATATTCGGTAAAGTATGGCTTTAGGTATGGCTTTAGGTAGCTGTTAGAACCCAAAGAAAGAATTACCTCTACCGATCCGCAATAAACTCTATATCTCTTTAGACCAAGAGCCAATAT